CGTCCTCTCTCGCTCCCCTTCTCTCACACACTATCGCCCGCTCTCTGACTGGCTGCTTCACTCACCTGTCCGAGTTTGATTCGTCATTCCTGCCAGGCAGGCTAGTTTCCAGACTCGAACTTGAAAGTGCATGGACGTGAACAGAGTCATGTATATATGGCTTGGAAATGTGAAAAAGAACGTGCGGACTCTCTCTCTCCTGTTTCCCTGCATAGCTTGGATGACTCTACCACCTTTTTCCCTGCGCCGTGTGTTCAAGTCTGGATGTACCTGGTCATGATTAGGTCCAGGAGGATGGGATTTTAATAAAATTAATAATAATATATATTTTTCCTCCAGCTAGCCAGCGCTGTCCCCACTAGTCTATCACCCGCTGGTTTGCTGACTCTCTTCCTCGCATCTGCCTGTTCTCTGATTCGAGTGCACACCCTCACACACACACACACAGTCTCTCACTCCCGCCGTGCAGTCCCCTTCTCTCTCACTCTCCCTCTCACACGCGAGTAACCGCCTGAGTGCCGACGCGTCTCCCCCGTGCTTGCAATGCTCYGCAACARYTGTGYGTCGGGTACGCCTGGCATGCCATCCACCAGTCCTCTCCCCTCATCCCCCGTGCAACAGTCTGCGCATCGATGTTTCCACCCTGAGCCCGGTATCACGGGTACGCCTTGCACACTGTCCCCCTTTCTCCTCTGTCCGGCCCTATATTCATTCAGCATCTGCTTGTACAGCCGAGACCATCGGCACCAGGCTCAGCACAGGCTCAATGCGGGTGGTACGTGAGCACCGCCCTCGAGCCAACAGATGGGTGTCGTAGTACCAAGGCCCTTAAGGCCCAGGCACGTCACAACCAGGCCAGTTCTCAGTTAATCCGCTGGTCAGTTGCGCCTGAATGTCTATCCCCACTGCAGTAGCCGATTCCGCTGGTTCCGGGGCCGGACTCAAACAATCATTCAGAAATAGGGACCACGGACCTGCTGCCACATATGGGCGAGCAACATGCCGTACTATCCCGAACCTGAATAGCCTGCACTGCACTGGTGCCGAGTCTGACCGAACCTGAAGAGCAGAGCTGGGCTGCTGTATCACGCCATCTAAGGACCGTGCAGCCAAGATGTTAAAGTTTCAACCCTGTCATAAACTGCTGTAGTGGCCGAGGCCAGGTAATAAATCGCCGCAGTGTCCCAAACCTGAGTATAAGTCACGGTAACGACACCGAAGCTGAAACGAGGTATCACGGTAGGAGCGAGTCCGAAATAAACTGATGTTGAACCCGAAGCAACTGTCGTACCGGTTCCGGCCCTGGAAATGAATTACTACTGTGCCCGCAATATGTCTCGGTAATGGCCTCAATCCTGAAACAAACTGCCGTGGTAGCGCCGAACGTGAAATAAGTACCCGTAATGGCGCCGATTCGGGAATAACTGCTGTTAAGGTCCCGTACTTGAAATAAGCCTCCATAGTGTTGCCGAGCGTGAAAATGCTATCGTGGGATGTGCCAAACCGACGCCGACCCTGAAATGTGGCGGCGCAGCGGTTCCGGACCGCGGCTGACTCCAAACCTGAAATAAACTGTCGTAGGGGTTCTGGTCATAAACATAGATCACCGCTGCGTCCCCAGGGTCGCCGTGCCCATACCGAACCAGAAACACGCCGGACTCCGTAGGATGCAGCCATAACAGCGTAGAATCTCTTTGAATCCACTTACTTATACCAAGCTACATCCCATACTCTCTACCCAAGGTAGCACCACCCCATGTGGTCCATGCGACTCCCGCTCTCAGAACACCCCAACTGTGGCAACGTTAGTATTCAGGYAACARGGAAAGSGAYGCAGGATTCCTCGACCATCAGCAGAAGTGAAAACTGTTAGAATCCGGGGAAAATGATCAATCCAGGGTCAGTGCTGACGGCGGGKATTCAAGGCGAAATAAGGCCAATCTCTCAATAGTCGTGGGTTCCCGCCCCTTTCATCGTTTTTTTTTTTTTTTTTTTTTTTTCCTTCTCCTTAATTCTATTGTCGGAAATACCAAATCAACCGTAAATTCCCCAAAATTAAATTCCGAGAAAGTTTAAATAAATGGCCGAATTTCTTTTGTTTCTTTCCTCTTTTTCCATGTTTAATCTTTTTCTATGTTTTTAATTTCTCTGTCGGGAACACAAAATAACAAGGATATTCCCCCTAGAATCAAATGCCGCGAAAAATAAAGAAATTAAGGGATATTATATTTTTCCTTCCCCCACTTCTGGCCTTGATCCCTTTTCCCCATCTTTAATTGTGGTACTAATATGGACAAAAAATTGAGGCTTCATTTCGGCCCCGCTCGCGCCTAGTGCGGCCACTCATCTCGTCGTCTTTGAGGGTTGCTCGTAAAGTTCAGCGCGCCCAAAATCAGGGGTGCCCTGAGCTCCCCTAATTTTTGCTGCCTGGTCAACCCGGAGCACCGTCAAAACACGGACTTGTCTTTGAGCCTAAGACCCAAAACCCCAGATTTCAGGCGGCGCACTGCTTGTGGCCGCCTGACAACGTCTCCAACACTTGTTGAAGGTGCTCAAGATGATCCTCCAATGTCCGGCTATAGACAAGAATGTCGTCTACGTAGACCAGCACAAACCGGTCCAACATTACACGACACTCGTTGGTCATTGCTACTTGAAAGGTCACCGGGGCGAGTCTTGAACACGGATTTGTAGCGATCGTTCGGCCGAATCGAAATCTGATGATATCCTGACTTCAAATCCAACTTAGAAAAATACTTTGCGTCACCCAATTGCTTAAGAAGATCGTCGATACGAGGAAGAGGCCCCACATTCTTGACGGTTTGCGCGTTGAGCTTGCAGTAGTCAATGGACAATTGTAGATCCTTGTTCTTCTTCCGTACGAAGAGAACTGGTGCTCCATATGGGGAGCTACTACTAGCCTACTAGGGCAGATCTAACCCTTGTCCAACAAGTCATTGAGTTGCGTGTGAAGGACCGTAAGCTCCTCCTCGCTCATGCCATAAATGCAACCTTTCGGTGGCACAACGCCGGCCTCAAGAATGATCTCGTGAGAGATCGTCCGATTCGGCACCACACCGGTAGGTGATTCGAAGATGTCGGCAAACTCGTCAAGCAACCGCACCACACGGCGGTCCGAAGACAAGTCCGTGGGTGAAGAGTTGGCTACCTCGACGGTCCGTAGGAAACATAGGCCTATCTCGTCGGGCTGCTCGTAAGCGCAAGTAGTCCGGAACGACTTGGCAGTCACCACTTGGCACCCGATCGAAGGGTGTGGAAGAGGAATAGTACACAACACTTCGGGGCCAAAGGCATCCCGAACGGTAAGAGTCCGCTGGTGGAAGTTGACCGTGTGATCCGCACTTGCAAGCCAAAGCATTCCCAAAATGATATCGAAGTCCGTGTCCAAAATGTCGAACATCACCGGTTCACATGCAAAAGGTGCGAAATATACCGGTACGGCCTCGATGTAATGGTCAATAAGTTGCTGCGTCCTTCCGTCCGCCAACTTGATTGCCGTCGCGTTTGCCTTCCTCCGAACTTGTGCGTCAAGACCAGCCCTTTGCACAAAGGTTTGGCTCATGAAATTGTGAGATGCGCCACTATCCAGTGAAGCGTTGTAGGACGCTTGCCCAACCTGGATGCAAACATAGACGAGTGGTGAGTTGTTGTCATCGTACCGCTGCTTGCGAAACTCGCGGGCCACCATGGTACCATACGTGAGAATGTCCCCCACCGCGACTTCGTCATCCGTCGACGAAGTTGGTGGTGCATAGAAGGATAAGTGTGTGTGGAGATGAGTGCATAATGTTGTGCATTGCGGTCCCGGCAAGCGGCCCATGATCGGGAGAGGAAGCCATGCGAAATCCTCCGACGTGAGTGAGTCCAAGACCTCTATGTTGAACTCGCACGCTGAATCCCGTGAAGAACCACTCGAAGACGATAAGTCGCCACTGCCGGACAGAGAAGATGCCGCACACACGTCTTGTCCTTGAGCATGAGTACCCAGTGTAGGAACGAGTTGGGCAGCATAGTCCTCATAAGAATATAGAAGAGGGGGACTATCGACTTCTGCATGTGCCTTGGAACGAAGGGCGATCACTCGTGAAGTGACCGGTTCCGAAGGCGTCGGGAGTGTTGTCGATTCACTCCCGACGGTGCTCAGTTTTCCGMTTTGCCTTTGCCTTTCGACGGGCAGCCCACTGTCTCGTGGAGATCGTTGTTACACCACAGACCATAGCGGCATCTTGTGCGTGCCTTGCACACCTGTTCGGAGAGACCATAGTGGGACCGTGGGGCTGGAGCTATTGCGCCGAGCCTGGGGATAGATGCGGTGTTTGTCTTCGTCTTGCCACGTCCTCGGCCTTTGCTGGGGCGGCCACCATCCTGGGAAGCTGCGAGTTTGTCCCCTTCATTGGCATACACGGCCTCGCTAGAAGGGTCGGTTGGCGTTGCCGCCACGACCACAACCACTTTCGATCGATGTTGATCTCTGCTCGGGCCTGTCGCAGACGAACGGTTGAGGTTCTTAGCCTCCTTGTCTGTGACAATAATCTGCGCGGCCTTGTCGAAGAGCTCCGCCGTTGTCGCCAGGGTGTCCTCGACGTGAGTCAAGGTGTTGCTCAACACCGGACACGACCTCGGGATGAAGTAGTGTTTGACGGCCTTGAAGCCCATTCGAATGTTTGGGACAGATGTCAAGCGTTGCTACTCGGCAATCTAGTCAACACTCGGCAACGTGCCTTGTTCGAAGGTCATCAATTTGTCAATTGCCTTGATCTCCGGCCGCTCTACTTGGAACCGCTTATGCCACGCCGCCTTTAGATCATCCTAGTTGACCTTGGTGTACAAGTCGGCAGCTACCACCCCGTACTTGGACAAGAGATTGACCAACCATGCTTGCCACGCGCCCCCCGATCGAGAGTATAAGTATGTGTGATGCCTGTCCTCGCTGATGTGGTGTAGCTGCAACTTGAGCTCGAACTTTCGGAACCACGGAATCGGGTCCGTCTTCGTCGAATCGCAGAAGATCTTCATGATCATCGAACCGTTGGAGTCGTCTCATGCGGTGCCAAACTCGGGTTGGCAGCGGCGGCACAGATCCGCTGCTCCAGTTGTTGCGTGGCGGTTTGCTGTGGCTGCGTGTCGTCCTTGAGAGCTCCGACGTCGATCTCCAGTGTATTGAGGCGATTGAAGGTATTGGAGGAGCTGGCATCGGGGGCGGCGACGGGTCGTTGCTCCAACTGCTGGAGGCGGCTGTTGAGTTGAGTTAACGCCTGGTTGTGCGTCTGATCCGCGTCGTCGAGGCTGTGGATGTCCTCCTGCTGTGCAATGCACGTTCCCAGGAGATCCATGAAATGGAAAATGAGTAGAGCGATCTTGCTTTCACTCTCTTCCATCTTACCATTCTCGGCCTCGGCTCGCCAGTCCGCTGCCATTGTGAGCAAAGCTCGCTCTCCATTGAATATCTTCTCACGTTGTTGATTTCGTTCTTCATCGGCAGCCTTTGCTGCTGCCTCGTCTTGCTGGCGCTGCTGTTCGATTGCCAACAGACGTGCCTCCTTGGCGTCCTTTGCCTTCTTCTTCTCTGCGGATGCTACCTCATCTGCCCGTTTCTTGGCTTCAGTAAACAAAGCCGTCATCCGGGCCAGATAGGCCTCGGCTGTTTGCCCGGGCTTCTGATCCATATCGGCTGTTTGTAAGCGCGTGAGCATAGATCAGGCCCGACTCGGAGGACTGCTGACGTGGCACTCCCTGCTGCTGATGTGGCACTGCTGTCGGCTGATGTGTCCTGCTGATGCAGCCTGCTGACGTGGTCTGCTGACGTGGCCTGATGATGTGGTCTGCTGACGTGGCCTGCTGACGTGGCCTGCTGATGTGGCCTGCTTACATGGCAACTACCAATGCCGCCGCAGGGGGTACCTGGAGACACAGAGAGAAGATAAGACCAGAGGGGGCAACAACATAGGTAAGGGCGTGGGTGGAATAAATCGCCCAGATAAGGAGCCACTAATCAAAAAAGAAAAGTTCGAACTTTTGCAAAGAAAAGAATTCGAGAAAAATAAAAATCCCGAGTTTTGCAAGTTCAGTAGGTCTCCCAATCTCCCTTGAAGTGCGAAATTGTCAATGAGAAGAAAAAAAAAAATAGAGTTTCAGACTGCCAATGATTATCAGATAGCGAAAAATTGAAAATCATAGAACTGCGAATACAAAGAATTCCGAAAAGAAAATAAAAAATATTCGGAATTACTTAGATAAGAGTACGTGCGGTTTGAAAAATAATAATTGCAAGAGGGATTTCCCGTATCGTTTTCAAAAAAACGAATTTCGGAAAAAAATATTCCGGATTTCCAAATAACGGGAAATTGCAAAAGGAAATCGAAATTTCTAAAAAAACGATATTCCAGATTTCCAACGACGAAATTTCAAATTTTCAGAAGAAAAACAAAAACGGAAATTTCAGGTGTTGCGCTATTGCGATTTTCCACAACAGAAATAGCGGGAAAACAAAATCCAAGGAAAAAAAATATATATATATATTTTCGGCAGTGAACTCAAAATCGTGATTTTGGGTGCTAATTAGTGTGCTCTAATCAATCAATCAATCAATCAAGACTAATCAACTAATTAGTCCCCGCACACGTGTCAGATCAGGTTGTTCTGATTCATGTGCGATGTTCCGATACCAACTGTTACATGCCCAGTTGGGCAATGTACATATCTAACCAAGGATCCGCAATGTGATGAAAATGACTGAATGGACAATGAAGTGCTAGTGGAATCTCAACAAGCAGTGCACATCCTGATACATACAAAAATGGTGCTTTGTAGCGCAGTGGAAGACTTAGATATAAGTCCTGACTCAACCGGGACTGACCTCTATCACGTAGTGCAAGACAGCGCAGCAGAACGCTAGAATACCAATGACCTTCCCAATCAATGTCGCAATGCAGACCAAACATACATCATCCTCATCATAACGTGTGAAGGGGTCTGGCGCTACACACAGGAAGAATGCGCCACGTCCAGATCATACAGAGACGAAGAGGAGCGAATCAGACGAAGAAGAGGGGGGGAGATGGGAATGTCGTCAACACCAGGTCTTCGTTACAAGTCCCAAATAATCCCTCGTCGAAATGTCTCAAGCCCAATGTCGAGTCTGGATCCAAAGGTCTCCAATCCCGCTCTCTCGTAGTCTGCTGATGCAGTGAAGTCAGGTAGCGAGAGATGAGAGGGAGATGGTGAACTGAGAAGAGGAAGAAGAAGAACTCTCTCTCTCTCCCATGTGCCAGGTACTAACCTGTGAAGATGGCGCTGTGTTGCAGGTACCTCGAAGACGAAGCTGGAGCTATGGCGCTGCAGGTAAGTCTCCCTGGCCTTCGGCCAATCTCCCTCTCTCCAGTACTACTCTAGCTCCTACTAGCGCCCAGCGCTGAAGACTACTGCTAACGCTAGTACTCCTGCAACGCTCCTCCAGAGTGCTGCTGCCGAATCCTGAAGACTACCTCCTGCCTCCTGAACTGCACGTGAAGTGCCTGGGAAGTCCCTATGAGGCTATGAACTACCTGCAGCCCGCAGGGCGGGCCAGTTCTATGTAGTGCTGGCCCGTCCAGGAGGCTGCTCTTGCCAATGCCAAAACGTGCCAGACCCTGGTGTTGAAACTCAAACAAGGGTTGTATTGAAAACAGGCCCAAAATGGCCTGTGCTAAAACCCTGGTCTGGTGCCTAAGTTTCAGGGCAGGTCGGTCTTATGAGGGCCTGAAAATGGCCCTCCGTTTCAGGCTGAAAAGACTCAGGGCCCTCCAGGCCCTGCTTTAGGCTGAAACGAAACAGGGGCTGTAGGCCCTTGTTTTTGGCTTTCAGGCTGAAACGACACAGGGCTTGTAGGCCTTTGTTTTCAGGCTTTCAGGCTGAAAACATCACAGGCCTGAAAATGGCCCGTACAGCCTGTTGCAGGCGCAACATGTACCATTTTTTCTGATATCCTGCTCAGTTAATCCTCTGCGATCCAGAGTAATCAATGCTGACAGGTTTTTTCCAGATACTGATTATCTTTTGTCTTTCCTGATTTTCGTGAATCATTCTGTACAAGGGACGCTGGACCCGTTTTCCAGCAAGTGATGGTCCCCACCAATAGATGGAGCCTCTCCCCAGGTGCTAGTGGTGTCTGCTTTTACCAGCACCACTAGCACTGATGGGAGTGTCTTGTGTTAAAAAAAAAGAAAAAAAAGAATAACCTCCTTTAACATCATCAGCCATGACGGATAGATCTCACATGATCATCATCAAACAGACGGGAAGGTGGAGAGCTTGCTGCCCTTCACCCATTATTGCTTTATTTTACACCCCCTCACATCAGAAACCACTGCATAGACCTGAGGCCATGATGTCCCAACAACGTTTTCCAACATTCACAACGCGGGCGACTGCCATAATGAAAATGGAAGCGATTGGCCACGTTGATGAGTAGCGCTAAGGAGAGAGCTGTGTAACCAGTATGTCAGTCTTCACCCAGGATTGTGCTAAACGGACTGTCATACGTGCAATTCCGTAGCTGCTGTTCAAAGATCAGTTTTTGTTGGCTGCGAAGAAAAAGGGAAGCTGCACTGAATGGAACTAGTTTTCAGTGGGATCTTCGACCTTATAGAATAGTTGAAAGAGGCTACAAGATTAAGATTGTCAAGACTCAAATGACAGTCTGGTGCTCCATTACAGAAATTCAAACACGGTTGAGGTATTGTCATCACTAGTCTGGTGCTGGACTCTCTGATAGGAACGGTTGCCTTGGATTTTTTATTTTTTTTGTTCCCCCCCCCCCCAAAAAAAAAAAAAGAAAAACCCGGGCCTAGTGCTCAAGGCTTATATTTCCAATTAAGAACAGTCGAGGCCGGGGTCCTCACAGTCTACCAGGATGGGAACCGCTGGGAGCATTACCCAGTTTCACTTACGGGGATAGACCCCGCGGGGACCAGCCCCCGAAATGGACACGAATACCACTGTTGCCTGAACTTCTTCGATCCTCCCCTAATGCCTCCTTGTGGTACAGGTCAACCATCTGGGTGCTTGATAAAACAGCTCTCCGCCCCCTGCAACGCCAGATAGCTGCATTTCTATGGAGGGGGGACCATGAGAAATAGAGAGTAATCAGTAGGGTGGCATGGCAGTCCATAATTCAACCTAAAAGCAAAAGGGGGCTGGGCATACTAGACCCAACAATACAGACTAAAGCGCTGACCCTACAATGGCTCAACCGCCTGCTATTTCGCCAAGATACGCCATGGACAGGGTTAGCCCTGGAACAAATTTTAAGGCCAGCCCCCGAAACGACGGCGGAGATCCACCCACTGACATGGCTGGAAAACAGGGGCTGGCCGATACCGCGAGGGTACCCCCACCACCAAGACCCCGGACTTAACTCACCAAGGAAACAGTCAAGAAACGATCTGCGAAACGATCACTTCTAGCCATCCCTGTTGAAAACATGGAAATCCCTTCCCCTGCCTGACAAAAGCCAACCCGAGAGATGGGATGAGGTACTTCGCCAACCACTCTTTGACAATAGGAGAATTGTTAACACCAGGGGTCAGGTCCTCCACTGCATGGAGTCTCCCTGGCGGGTGTGGGTAAAGAGAGGAGTAATGAGGATAAGTGATATTTGGGACCTGACCAAAAGAGACTGGATAGACAAGGACCTCCTCAGACAAAAGCTGTGATACAACCATCAATCGGAAAGAGCTCTGGAGGAGGTAGTTGAAAGGATCCCCCTGAGTTGGTGGAAAATCCTCAGAAAAGGGCCCACTTTACAGGAAACAGACTGGGTGCAGGTCCACGGTAGCAAAAGGGAAATGGGGAGGGTAGTACGCTGTGACCCAGAAGGTCGAGTGACTGTGGATATATACACAATAGGATGGGACAACACCCTCCAAAGACCCGCCACAGATGAGACACGCTGCTACCAGGAGGAAGAGTTGACGCGAACTAGAGTACTTGAGGACAGGGATAAATGGGTGGTTTTCTCCCCCGGCACCCCGATTGTGCAGTTACCTCTAGACCCGATGGAGTGGTCATGGACAGGGTTGGGAGGAAAAAGGAAGCCAGGCACCCAAACGCTACACAACATGTCAGTCAAATCAATGTACAGAATGCTTCGACCCAAAATCAATCTCCGAGACCAGGTAGAGACCAGATGGATGAAGCACTTAAATATCAGCAGAGCATCACTTCGGGGAGTCAAATGGTTCCACTTATCCAAAGGGAAACCTGCGAAATTGGCTTCTCTCCAATGGCAAGTGGACCACCGTTGCTTCTCGACAAATAATTGGCTGATAGACCGGACATCCCTGGAACAGACCGGACGTCCCTGGAACAGACCGGACGGGCTCTACCTAGGTGCAAGTTGTGTTCTAGTTCATTCCCAGCTAGGAAAAGACCTGAAACAATAGAACACATTTTTCTGCAATGCCCGGGGACAGTCTGGCTCTGGCGCTGGTGGGACAGGATCTAGAACCAGCTAGAAACAACAACGCCCTGGCCATGGGACTGGAGGGTATTACTATTAGAAACATGGTATGCGGAACAAGCAGATGCCTTCACCCAAAATCTCTTTGAACTAGGACGCAGGGCAGTGATATGGGCACTTTGGTGCCGCCGCTGCACATACGAGATGGAGGGGGTGAGATTGGAAGGGCC